TCAGAACTCCCACATCTAGAACCCCCTGTCTCGGAACTCCCACTCAGAACTCCCGCATCTAGAACCCCGTCTCGGAACCCCTGTGTCTAGAACCCCCTGTAAGCCCCTGCCTTTCCATCTGTCTCTATGTGGTTATCTCTGTGCTGCTCCTTTTCCCTCTTGCAAGGACCCTTGTGACTGAACAATCCAGAGACCTCATCTCAATTACTAATCCTTGCACTTCGCATGTGTAATGGTAATCCTTAATGATGCCTGCAGAGAACATCACTTCTCCCACATAAGGCTTCACCCCCACACAAACGTAGTCTGGGAACTCTTCAGATGTGACACATGAAGACATCCAAGAAACTTTTTTCATAATTTATGGCTGAACTAGGTCTGAGCCCTGGCTCCAGAGAGCCTCCCTCTGCCCCTCTTTTCCAGGGGGGCCGGGGCTCTCCTGTCTGGCTTGCACACAGGGGCAGGAACATGGACTCAGTGTCCTTTCCCTCTTGAACCCCTCTGAGAGTGAGCACAGGGCAGGCAGCTCCCCCTAAGCACCAACCAGACAGACGCCGGGGAGGTGCTGACTGCTGGGGCCCTGCCCTCGCACCCACTGGGTTTCTTCCAGGAACTTCACCACCATCTTCCACCCTGATTACGGCAACTGCTACATCTTCAACTGGGGCATGACGGAGAAGGCGCTGCCTTCAGCCAACCCAGGCGCTGAGTTCGGTGAGCCCTGCTTCACCCTGGGGTCAAGCCCAAAGGGGGTGAGGACTGTGTTGCCCTTTTGCTGATGAGCAAAGTGAGGATTCAGAAGTAGCGCCGCTCAGCACTCCCCTCCAGGCCTCGGGGTCCAACCGCAGCTCCCCGGGGGGCTCCGAGCATCTCCAAGTCGTGGCTTCCCCCCTAAAGCTGGTGTATGACAGAGGGGAAATGGGCTGCGGCCTCTCCAAGTGGGGGAGGGGGTGGGTGGCGGCTGGTTGCCTGCTCCAGCAGGAGGTAGGGGAGCATGTGGGCTGGGGACTTGGGCTTTGGGGCTGCAAGCCGGGCGCGGTGGGCGTGAATCCTTCCCTCAGCTTCTGAGCTCTCAGGCCACCAAGGGGCTGTTGCCATTTGGCTACAGTCAGGGCTGGGGCCTTGGCCCGGAGGCATGGGGCACTCTTCCCCTGGCCCCTGTGGCCCCAAAAAGCTGTGTGTGTCCCAGGGGCTGTCACACTAAGGGGCAGATGATTAAGATCCAGGACCCCAGCAGCTCCACTTCCTTGCCGGGTGGCCTCAGGCAAGTCCCTTCGCCTCTTTGTGCCCCAGTTTCCAAATCTGTAGAGCGGGAACAGTGACAGTCCCAGCCTCACACGCGCCCTGTGAGCACCTCTGAGGCTGTGGATAATCAGCACATACAGCAAGAGCTCAGTCAGCAGCAGCAAGTAGCCCGATACACAGAGCAGAAAATGGGGTCCACTCTCTGCCCTCCACGGGTGCAGTCGAGTGGGGAAGGAAGAGACAATACAAGAAACACAGCGAGGCTGGTGCTTGGGAAGCGCTTCAAAGACCGGTGTAGGTGGTCGGGGAAGGCCCCTGGGCGGGGGCGAAGAGCAGGGGCTTCTAGGGGTGGGTGAGGCTGGGCAGCAGTCCAGAGTGCGGGAACCAGCTCTCGAGAGCGTTCTCCAGGCCGGGCTGCAGCCGGGCCGCAGTGCTAAGGGAGAGTGTGAGCGGAGAGCACGAGGGCACCGTGGGTGGGGCAGGCCGGGCTGGGCCCCAGATCTACCTGCCACGTGGAGAAGACCTTACGGGGACAGGTGGGGGGCAAGGGCGCCCGAGGAGGAGACCTGGACGAGGATGGGCACCTTGGAGACGACAGGAAGCCCAAGTTCTTGCAAAGTGAAGCCTCACCCTGGAGGGCTCGGACCAAGGGGTGGTGGATCCCCCTCAGCGGGAGGCGGGAACTCAGGCTGCCCTCGCCCCTTCCCACAGGCCTCAAGTTGATCCTGGACATAGGCCAGGAGGACTACGTGCCCTTCCTGACGTCCACGGCCGGCGCCCGGCTGTTGCTGCACGAGCAGAGGTCGTACCCCTTCATCAAAGACGAGGGCATCTACGCCATGTCGGGGGCCGAGACGTCCATCGGGGTGCTGGTGGTAGGGCCGCAACCCCGCCGCCACGGGGCACCGAGGGAGGGAGCCTCCACCAGGCGCACCTCCATGGTGCTCGAGGAGGGCTCGGGGCCTCTGCGGGGCGCGCCTGGCCGCCGTTAAGATCCCCCCTGCTCACTCTGGCTGGAGCCCCCACCCCAGCCAGGGTGCCTGCGGGGGCCCAGCCCTGCATCCCCTAGGTCCTCAAACCTCATGAAGGGTCCCAAGGGGCCTCCTGGGGGTGACCGGGGCCGCCACCAGCAACCTCTCTGGACGCAGGACAAGCTGGAGCGCAAGGGCCAGCCCTACAGCCAGTGCACCGTCAACGGCTCCGACGTCCCCATCCGCAACCTGTACAGCAGCTACAACACCACCTACTCCATCCAGGTGGGCACATGGCGCAGGCTGGCGGCCGGGGCACCGCGTGCACCACCGGCCACGACGGGCCCGGGGGCCGCTGGCCCGTCCAGGCTGGCTCGCGGCGGGTCCCCTTGAGGCTGTGGGCCCAGTCCAGTCCCTGGGTTCTCGCCTCTCACCCCCGCCTTGGGGTCCCCCTTGGGGAGGCCCAGGACTGTAGGGGCCTCACTGTGGGGTCTCCCGAGACAGCCCGGTGTGGGCAGCGCTATGTTCAGGGCAGGTGTGTCGCGCTTTGAACCCCCCATGAGGATCGGGATATCCTGACGATCACATATTGTCGGCGTTTACCCCCGTGTTAACCAGGGCCCTATGGCTGTTGACCATAGATTTGCTAATGGGCGACAAGGGCGGCTTCTCGCGTGGAGGCAGGTGCTTTTCCAAGTGCTTGACCCATATATGGACTCATTTAATCCTCTCGAGGACCCTCAGCTGTAGGTCCTGTTACTGGGAAAGAGGCAAGGGCATTTACAGGCCTCCCCCCCCTGAACCCCTCTTCAGTTTCCGAGAAGCCCCTCTTCATGTTGGCCTCCCGCCCCCTTTTACGCACGCGGGGAGCTTCCGGCTCCCCTGACCCCAAGGTGACCGCGGGAGCCGTCCCGGCCTGCGCCCCATGCGTGAACTGAGACGCAGGGCTGGCCCTGAGCGCACTGGCACCGCGGGAAGGGCCTGGGCCCAGCGAGTGGAGATGTGTCACACCGGAGCCCGAGCGGGTCCCCCAGGAGGAGGGGACACAGGGCCAGCTGCCCGCCTCCTCGGGGCTGGCCTTCCCGGTCCGGCCATGGAAGACACGGGAAGAGTGGGAGCCGCAAGAGACGGTGCTGAGGGTCAGCTCTGGCGCTCGGAATAGGCCTCTCCCCGTGTCCCCTGTGGGCCCGGCGGCTCTGGAAGGTGGCAGGCCAGTCTCCAGGGGAGCCCCGCCTGAGGGCCCCTGGGGGGCCGGGGCGGAGAGGGACAGCCCCGCCCTGGCGGCTCAGCCGGAGCTGCGCTGGCTCCCAGCTCCCTCAGCCTGGGCACTCTGGCCCTGGCCCCCTGCCCTGGGCTGGGGAGGGGGCTTCACGGTCGTGATCCCCCTCCCCCGCAGGCCTGCATCCGCTCCTGCTTCCAGGACCACATGATCCACAACTGCAGCTGTGGCCACTACCTGTACCCGCTGCCCCCGGGGGAGAAATATTGCAATACCCGGGACTTCCCAGACTGGGGTGAGTGGGGCGCCCCAGCCAGCTGGGCCGCTGCCCACGAGGGCTCTGACCACAAGCCGGGGGTGGCGGCCACACCCTCCAGGCCCCAGGGTGTGCCCTCCCGCACAGCCCCAGGCTCCACCCCTGCCAGCCGGCTCCTAGACCCCACCCGGGTGGAATGTGCCTGTGAGGGCGTGGCCTGGCCCTCGTGGGTGTGGGGCGCTGGCAGGTGACCCCTGTGCCTGCTACCTGTGCACGTGCTTGTGAAAGGCACTGGTGCGCCAGTGACGAGACGCAGCGGCCAGCACGTTCACACGCAGGTGGCCCCTTCCCTGCACACGCACAGGTGTGCGAGCCAAGGCCTGAGGGGTCCCCAGGTGTGTCCACGCCCGAATGGGCTCGGGGCGCTGGGAGGGAGGGGGTACCCGACTGGGGCTTGAAACCAGAAGCCGCAAGAGTACCGGCTGCCTCTGAGCTGGCGCCTGGTGGGCCCTGGCGGCCTGGAGTGTGACACGGGACAGTCGCCCCAAGAGCGGGGTCACCTCCTACACCCAACACAAAGTGGAGATGAGGGGGACACTGACCCCTCCCTCTCTCCCCCGCCCTGTCCCTTCAGGAAGGGGGCAGGGTGCCCTGAGGCTGTGAGCAGGGTCTGGGCTTTGGGGGAGACAGCTGGGGAGAAGGGGTGGGGGAGTCCCCAGGGCAGGGGTGTGGGCTGAGACTGTCCTGCCAGCCTAGCACAGGCCTCGAGTGGACCCTGAGGGGCGGGCAGGGGCGGCCCGAGGGGACAGGAACCCGACGCCTGCCCGCCCGCCTGCCTCTCCCCTGCCAGCCTATTGCTACTCCAGCCTGCGCCGGAGTGTGGCCCAGAGGGAGACCTGCATCGGCCTGTGTAAGGAGTCCTGCAAGTGAGTGGGCGAAGCCTGGGGGGCCCGGGGCCCCAGGGCACATGCAGGGGCAGCCACGCCCGCCTTCTCTCTTCCAGTGACACCCAGTACAAGATGACCATCTCCATGGCCGACTGGCCTTCCGTGGCCTCCGAGGTGAGCTGGTGGCGTGGCCAAGCTCCCGGCCCGTCTGCCTGGGGACTGGGGGCCCGAGGCCTGCGGGCTGCTGGGAACTTTGGGGAGGGTCTCCCCTTCCTCCCTGCACTCCTCTCTCCTCAGCTCCTTCCTCCCTCCTCCTGGCCTCCTTCCCTCCTCTCTCCTCCTGGCCTCCTTCCCTCCTCTCTCCTCCTCATTCTAGCGGCCCCCAGGCCCTGTGCTGAGAACACAGCAGTGAAGGGGAGATCTAGTCCTTCTCCCCAAGTCTACAGTCTAGTCAGAGACAGACAATATGCAGAACCAGGATGATTCAAAGTAACTGGGGAACCACCCCAGGCAGAGGGAGCGGCGGCTGGGGGGCGAGAGGGGGCAGGTGAACCGCCGAGGCTGGGCGCAGGGAGGGGTCTGGAACCCTGACGCCTTCTCCGATACCCTCACTGCCGCTGCCCCCACCCCACACATGGTCCCAGGGCCTTCGGGAAGCTACAGGGGTCCCAGCAGAGCGGGGTGCTGCCGGCGCCAGTTTTCAGCTGCCCTCTTGGTTTCCAGGACTGGATCTTCCATGTCTTGTCTCAGGAGCGGGATCAGAGCACTAACATCACCTTGAGCAGGTGAGCCCGGAGTCTGGGCAGGCTGGGGGAGGCCAAAGGGAGAGGAGAGCCCTGGGGGCGCACACACAGCGGCAAGCCTGGAGGGCACCGCCAGGGACGCAGAGGCCCCACCGCCCAGCGCCCACCGGCCCGCCACCACCTGTTTCATCCTGCCATTCTCCCACATCACCCATCCACTCGCCACCAGCCTACTCATTCACCCACCGGCCATCGGGCCTCCCGCTCCCCCAACCCATCATCCCCCACCCCTGGCCACAGTCCAATCACTCAACACAAGCAGGCACGGAGCACAAGAGGACTCCCAGACCTGGGTGCTGGGAGGCTGCAGTCTGGAGGAGAGAGGCAGGCAGCTTAGGCCAGAGCTCCTGAACCAGACCCTCGCTTCAGGAAGGAGCCTCGGGCTGCTGAGAGAAAAGGGGGCTGCAGGGAGCAGCTGAGCTGGCGCTCTGGGGGGGCAGGGGGATGGACAGATGCTTGGAGGGAGAGCAGCGCCTGTCTGAGGCCCACAGGCTGCAAGGGGAGCCCCTTGG